AAAGGTCCCGAGTTTGATTCCTGTACCCGCTCCCCAAAAGTGCTGTCTATAAGAAATTAACATCAAATATAATGATACAGGCAGACTGAAAGTAAATGAATGCAAAGATACATCATCCAAATGTTAATCAAAAAAACGAACATTAATTGAAAATAGAATTTACGTGATGCAGGACTCCATGTATGCGACATTCTGGAATGACAGAACTGGAGAACAGATTGCTGGTTAAGGATGGGGGAGCAGGAAAGTGGAGGTGTAGTGGGGGAGAGGAAAACAGGGGCAACTGTAGCAGAGCACGGGAGGGGCCCTGGGACGGGGGAACTCTTCTGGTTTGGTGACCTCCTGCCCTGCCTGGTTCTCTTCTGCCTACCAGCTCTCCATGGGCATGCTGGGGATGGGCTTCATGGCCACCTACTTCCTGGAGGCTATGATCAGCGCTTACCTGGCTGCAGTGGCCCTGCACCTCGTGCTATCCCAGCTGCCTTGTGTCTTCGGGGTGATGATTACTTTCCACGCTGGTCCTGTTGCCTTCTTCTACGTGAGTAACTTCACCCCTTACCCAGAGTTGCAAACGCCCCTCCAGTGGCCTCTAAGGAACAGTGGACCTGAGCAGAGCCTCCCACCTAAAGACAGGATCAAAGATGCAGCTGAGAGGCGGCCTAGTCTGGGAAGTCCCAGAAATAATTTCATCTTATGTAGATTTAAGCCAGTTGGACCATGCTTTGCTTTCCAATAACCATTTCAGCCTAGCCTTTTCAGGAAATATTTAATGATTTATATTAAAATTTCATCTTGAGGGCCAGGGATTTAGCTCAGTGGTTTCGCTGCCTGCTGTGCAAGCACAAGGACCTGAGTTCGATCTCTGGTTCCAAAAAAAAAAAAAAATTTAATCTTGAAGTTACTGTCTCTATCATTAAGTCTTCCTATTACATGCCTCCTAAGAAACATGTATCCTAAAACATTTAAAGGTTATAAAACTCAAAGTTGTCCCTGAATGCAAGAATAAAACAAGCTCAGCTAAAGAATATATATGTTCTGAGAAAATTAATAATGAATAGGCTAATAAATAGAACTCCCAGGCCCTTTCTGTTACACAGAAACACAAAAAGTATATCCTCTTTTTCTCTCTTTTGTGTTTTGTTTTTTGAGACAGGGGCTTGCTATGTAGTGCAGGCTGGCCTCAAACTCATGGCGATCCTCCTGCCTCTGGCTCCTGAGTGTTGGGATTGCAGGCATGGGCCACCACATCTGACTATTCTCTCTTTATTGAATATTACTCTTTTAATATCCCTTTTTCAATGTAAGAAAATGCATATCAGCAACCTCTCCTCAACCTCCATGCTTGTCCTCACTGTTGTAGTAATGTAATTCTCACAAACATCTTGGTACCCACCCAGGCATGGTAGATTATGCTTGTAATCCCAGCACTCTGGGAGGCTGAGGCAGGAAAAGATCGAAAGTTTGAGGCCAGTCTGGGCAACTTAGAGACTTAGTAAGACCCTATCTCAAAATAAAAAATAAAAAGGGGGCTGGGGATATGCAAAGGGTTGTCAAAACATATGTTGAATGGTTACGTTTTTAAAAATGTATTACAGTGAAATATACATTACCATTAATCCCCCTCAAAATCCTCCCCCTTGCTTCAAACACATCTCATCATTCTTTCCATTTTCTTTTCTTTCTTTTTGTTTTTGTTTTTTGAGACAGGGTCTTGCTATGTAATTCAGGCTGGCCTTGAACTCACTATGTAGTCCAGGCTGGCCTTGAACTCTTGGTGATCCTCCTGCCCCCAGCCTTCCAAGTGCAGGGATTACAGGCATGTGCCTGGCCATTCTAGCCACTTTCTGAAGCAGTTCTGGAAGTCCTTTTTTTGTGTCCTTATGAGATGTAATATAAAATTTGGTGAATGCCCCTGCCAGTGCCATCCTGCCAAAAGGTGGGCTCATAAAAACATCGCAGTGTGGGTGGGGAATTTACCTCAGTGGTTCCACGCCTGCCTGGCAAGCACAAGGTCCTGAGTTCGATCACCAGTACCAAAAAAAAAAACAAACAACATTGCAGTGTGCCCTCATCCACCTTACCCACTGGATCTGACACTGTGTGACTTCTGACTCCTCCCCAAAGTCAACGTGACCAAGAAAGGTAAACATTCTGAATCAGTTCAGTACATTGGGACATCTACAACAGCACAAATAAAGACGCTCTAGAAAGAGCACTTCCAGAACTGCTTCAGAAAGGGGCAAGAATTATGGAACCTATGTTTAACATGAGGAAGAATATTTTGAGGGGCGTTAATACGAATATGTCTTTTACTGTACTTTTTTTTCTGGTCCCGAGAATCGAACTCAGGACCTTGTGCTTTCGAGGCAGGCAGGGTGCCACTGAATTAAATCTCCGGTCCAATTTTTTTTTTTCTTTTCTTTTCTTTTTGATACGGGGGATTGAACTCAGGACCTTGTGCTTGCTAGGCAGGTGGCAGAACCACTGAGCTAAATCCCCAGCCCCCAGCTTTTCTCTCTGTCTTTTTTTTTTTGGTACTGGGGCTCGAACTCAGGACCTCATACTTGCAAGGCAGGCACTGGAACCACTGAGCTAAATCCCCTGCCCCCCAGTTTTTAAAAAGAATTTAAACATTCACCTGAGTTAGATCTCCATCACACCTCATGTGCAAATGCACAGTACCATAAACAAACAAAAACACCTCCAACAACAAACAACCTTGGTGCCCAGTATCCTCGCCTAGGGACTTCTTTTTTAACTTACGTAGAGGAATATCCTTCTCTAGATTTAGGCAATTATTAGACCCCTTCATGAGCCTCTGTAATTTTGTTTTCTTTCAGAACATACTTAACTACTGTGTGGCTCTCCCAAAAGCTAATTCCACCAGCATCCTACTCTTTCTAACTGCTATTGTTGCTCTGAGAACCAACAAGTGTATCCGAATCTCTTTCAATCATTATCCCATCGAATTCCCCATGGAATTATTTCTGGTAGGTGTTTCTGATGCCCCAATTTCATAGCTCAGATTTTTTTTTTTTAAGGTCTCACTACATAGGTCATGCAGGCCTTGAACTCACTATGTAGCCTCGAACTCAAACTCGAGGCAGTCCTCCTGCCTCAGCCTCCTGAAGACTGGGATTAGAGGCATGCACCACCACGCCTGGCTGACTCAGACCATTTTAAATACCCACTTAGAAAATTGAAATAAAAACACAAATAACTCAAGAAAGCAGAGATTCCTAGGAGCTGTAAAAGTAAGAATTTTGGGGGCTGGGGATTTAGCTCAGTGGTTTCGCTGCCTGCTGCACAAGTGCAAGGACCGGAGTTCAATCCCTGGTACCAAAAAAAAAAAAAAAAAAGTAAGGATTTTTCAGAAACATGTTGGATTGTGTGAAAGCTGAATGTTCACTAGTTTTAAATGTATGCTATCCAGGTACAATGGTGCATACCTGTAAGCCCAGCACTCTGGGAGGCTGAGGCAGGAGGATTGAAAGTTTGAGCACAGCCTGGGAAATTTAGCAACTTAGCAAGACCATAGCTCAACATAAAAAATAAAAAGGGCTAGAGATGCAGCCTTGTGTTCAATCCCTTGTACAGAAAAAAAAGTATGCAAATATTTATAAAATGCTTGTTTTCTTCAAAGAGTTTTTTTACTCAGGTATAGTTGACAAAATTATATAGATTTACTCTGTACAATATGATGTTTTGATATATGTACACATTGTGAAATGGTTAAACAAAGATAATTAACATATTTATCACCTCACACACTTATTTTTTTTAATTTTATTTATTTTTATTGTGAGAACATTTAAGATCCACTATTTTAGCAATTTTCAAGTATATGATACATTATTAACTATAGTCACCATACTATTTGATAGGCCCGCCAAAATAATTCTTATCTTCAAAATACCTTTATCTATTGCCTCTTTCTTGTAATATTTTAAAAACTGGGATTTTCATGCCTATAAAAGTAATACAGGCTCATTCTTGAAAGTTTGAAAATCTTAAAGAAGTTTTAAAATGAAGGGGGAGCCAGGCGCAGTGGTCCACACCTGTGATTCCAGCACTCTGGGAGGCTGAGACAGGAGGACAGCAAGTTTGAGCCCATCCTGGGCAACTTAATGACTTAGCAAGACTCTGTCTCAAAATAAAAGTATAGAAAAGGGTTTAATTCCCAGTAGCACATAAAGAATAGGGGAAGAGTAGAGAAGGAGATACATTCCTGTACTTGTACAACTATTATTGATACTTTTGTATTTTGCTTTATTCTTCCAACCTGGCCCTGCTATGCTCAGAGTTGGTGAATAGCCATCATTTTCTACACAGAAGTTTTGCTTCTATTTTAGTATAGTTGCAACCATACTGTTATTAAGGCTCCTTTTATTCTCGTGACCCTGCAGTAAGGAAAGTGAAGCAGCCAAGATGGTCATTTGTCTAATCCATCGCGCTAGTAAGTAGCAAAGCTAGAGCTGGCTACTGCCTAGTAACAGCACTTCTTGTTTCTTTCTTTAAGTCTCCTGATTAAATTTATCTCTTGCAGTCATAATTAATATTTCCACAGACATTTTCATCTATAAGGCTCAGGGTCTTTTGTTTTGCTTCGTGTTTATGGTGTTGGAGTCAGAGCCCAGGGCTTTGCTCACGTGCTCGGGGTTTTTAGTGTCACCACGTCTCCTACTGGGGGTGCTGGACTATTGGGTACACATGAGAATTATCCCACATGGCCTCTGCATCCCCCAGGCTCCCTTGTAGTTAGGAGGACTCTGTGACTCAAGCCAAGGGAAAGGCGAATAGGAGTGTGTTCCAGTGTCCTTGTCCTGAGGTCGTGATGGCAGGAGCTGTATCTAAGATGACCCAGTCACCAGCGGAATGACTCTGGATCCCTGGATCCGCTGTTTGCAAAGAGGCTGCCCTGGAAGCCACTGACCCACGATGGACTCTCATGGCAAAATAATAACAATAATAATAGTTGTTATTTCTGTATGTTCCGATGCTAAGATCTCTATGGTTTGTACACTGCCACAGCACACATTACCTTGTACTAACTAATCCAGACCCATCTCTCTGAGACTGAAAAGCACTGCTGCGAGTCCAAGCTGTGTCTCCTACCAGTCATCTGTTCTTGTGGAGATGTGTATTCTTTTTTCCTTTGGGTAGTTGGAAAGCTATTCCTTTATAAAGGCCAGAAACTGAAAGGCTGCTTTTACAGGGGGCTTCTCAGAACCCTGCATGAAGTAGTGGTGCAGGGAGCAGTGTACGTGGAAGCAGGGATAGCCTCTGCTTTTCATGGAGCCTGGCCCAGCTGTGTCTCTGGAGTCACCAGTAGACAGCATCTGTTCCTTGAAGCAGCCTCAAAGCCAGTGGGCATCAACCAGGGTCATCAAAGAAAGGACAAAAGCAAGTGCATAGAGGATGCAGTGGGTTGACGATGGCTGGCAGGTTGGTTTGTAACCCACGGTGAAGATGTTCCTTTGGGGAATGTTGTAAATAATTGTGAGGAACCACGGGGTGACATGGGGGAGGAAACCGAGGCCCTGCAGTACAGTGGGCGGGGTCTTAGCTTACTGCATTTAGACAATCTACTTTTTGCTTTAACAGGTGATTAAAGCCTGCAGCATACTACTTAGACACATGTTAAATCAAGTGATGAGATACTCGGTTTACCACATAGCAGGGATTAGAGCTGTAGATTGGAGCAGGAAAAAGACCTTCCTGTCTCCCTGGCAGCAAAGACATAAAAAGCTTAGGAGAGACAAACTTCTCCCAGCACCTGCCAGGCAACTGCAGCCTAGGTGTGCTGGTGGGAACTGTTCCCACCCACCAATCTGGCCTAAAGATGCTAGTCTCAAATGTTTAGGAAAAATTTCAAGTCACTGTCTGGGATCCAGGCAAAATATATTGACAATTTAAGAGTCCCTCAGCTATACAAAATTATACATACTATATGTTCCCAATTTGTGTGTGTATGTACATTTAAACTATAGAGCAAACACAAATGTGAAGAGTAGTTGCCTTTGGTAGACTTATTTCTGCTTTTCACTTTTTCATATTTTCTTTATTTGCCTTTAAGAGCAAGTATTACCTTTATACTGGAAATAAGAACTCCCTGGCCACTCACTGTACTTCTTGTCCGTTAACTTCCTCCCTGACCCAAGCTGTGATCCTGATTCTAACTTCCATTGGGATCTGGAGGCTTCCTGGGGCCTTCATCTGATCATAGCATCACAGCTGGGCCAACTGCTCTGCTGCTGCTCAGCGTCTCGCAGAACTCTTCCAGTAGATGCTGGGAAAAGACTGTATGTGGGGAGGAATAATGGGGTAAAGCAACTATGTAGTTAATATTTTAAAACCTGTTTTTTGTTTTTTGAGACATGGTCTCAATGTGTAGTCCAGGCTGGCCTTGAACTCACTACGTTGCCCGGGCTGGCTTGAAATTTGTGGCAATCCTCCTGCCTCAGCCTCCTGAGTGCAGGGATTACACGCATGCACCACCATGCCCAGCTGAAACCTGGGTATTGAGGTGTCTTGTCTCTTGTTTAGTTAGCTCTGATGCAAGATCATGATGAGGTGTATCTGCTTCTACCTTGTCTGTTTTCCCTCTAGCTGAAAGTCAAAACTAAAGAGAGAGTTGCCATTTTTAGAATTAAATGAAGGGGGGAACCCCAGATAATTGCTTCACTAAAGATCTTTTCATTTTATTTATTTATTTATTTGGTACTGGGGATTGAACTCAGGACCTTGTGCTTTCAAGGCAGGTGGCGGACCGCTGAGCTAAATCTTTGGCAAAGACCTCTTGTCTTTGTGCTTCCAAATGCCTCTCCATATTATTTAGGGTTAGTCAGTGATTTTCACTCAATATACCCCAGCCATGCCTTAAAAGGCTCATCTATATGGTGCACTGTATCTGGATCCAAAAAGTATTAAAAATGAGACCCTGATACAGGCCTTACCTGGAAACACTTTCTTTTTTTGTTTGTTTTGTTTTGTTTGGTATCTGGGATCGATCTTGGGACCTAGTGCTTGCAAGGCAGGTGCCAAAACCACTGAACTAAATCCCCTGCCCAAAAACATTTGCATTTGACCTGATGTCTAAAGTTGGTGGGGAAACCGAGGCCCATGCCCCTGTTTGTTCCCATCATTGTGTCAGAGACCAAGGGTGACACGCTTTGGCTGTGTTGCCCCCAGGAGCTCCGGAGAACTGGCAGGGCTTTGCTGCCTCGGAGCTGGCCCCACCCGGCCCTCAGCTGTGTGCAGAGTCTGCTGTGGGCCCCTTCTCATTTCCTGCCCTACCAGAGACCAGAGTGCCCCTGCTCCTAGAAGCGATGCTCAGTATGTAAATAATCCTATGCCTTTCCCCCTGCAGATTCTTGGCTTCACTGCATTTGCTAACAAGATAGACATGGCCACAGAAAATAGCAAGACATTCATTGAGATGATTCCTTTTAGGTCAGTAATTGTACTTTTCATGACTGCTTCCCCTTCTCTGATGCTATCTCTCAGCCCCCAACCACCACCTGATTGATGTTGGGCCACAGCCAAATGCATCTTTGAACGCAGAGGCCTGTGAAGGCCAGAGGGCTGGGACAGCTCCTGTCTCCTCTCTGGTTGGCCTCTGTCTCTCCTCGAATAGCTGAGCCTGTTCCCTAACCCGACACCCGTGGTATGCATGGAGTACCTTTCTCATAGACTTCACAGGTCTTCCCGAGCTCTGTGCCTGCCTAATTAATTTCCAGGGGTGGACCAAGGGGTCCCTCTGCCAAGCCCCCCTCCTGGGGCTCTGTGTTCTGAAAAGGAAGGCTCTTCTGCCTTCTCCCCCTTCTACCGGATCAGTGTCCTGCAGAACGTCACTTTCTTCATTTAGCCATTAGTCTATCATAGGACTCGCCATCAGTTCGCATCATTGTTCCTAGAAGTGACCACGGGATACACTCTTGCTTCTGTTGGAAAAGTATAATGTTTTATCCTCCATCAAACAACTCACATT